GTTCTTTTATAAATAATACCGACATAATATTCTTGTGAATAAAAAGGTTCTCTCATAAATAATACCCAAATAAAACCGTAATCGAATATTCTTAAAAATGGAAAAAATTCTTTCACAAATAGTACCGAAATAAAATCAAGATCGAGTATTCTTAAAAATAAAAAGAATCTCTTATAAATAATATCTACCCAAGTAAAATAAATATCCAATACCTACTAATCAAATTTCCTATCGAAGCATACCTGCTCGCCCCGCAAAACCAGCATCGGTAGTGTAAATCAAAATGCTACCACGGCGACTGGCTGCCGTCTAAACAAACAAATAAATATTGAACGTTGGTCTGGCACGTACCGTGAAGCCGATGCCGACGGTCGCTGCGAAGTTTCTAGGTTGGAATTTCCCGGTGTCGAACTGGACCAACAGGGATGTCTTGCCCACTCCACTGTCGCCCAGAAGGATTGTCTGCAAACAAAAAAGAGAAAAATCTCGGTTCCCGGCTGTGCTATCGACTTCTTATCGAGTGAACGTTGCTTGAGTTCAGATATCCTCTTTATTGGACGCGATTTATCCACACAATGACGATAAAATGTTTTAAGGAGACACTTTGCGGAGGATCTTGACACTTTTGACAATTTTACATTCTTGAAACTTCGTTCTAAACGATGTGAATTGAATTACGATTTGTAAACACGATAGGAGATTAATTTTGAATTAGTAATGGGAAAGAAATGGAAATTATTAAATTTCAATTCTAAACTCTAGGAAATGGGTGTGTTTCCTAAAAAATTGGTTGTTTCTGTGACATTTCAGACCAATGCAAAGATTCTAAAATAAATACTGCTCTTAATATGTTTTAATCTCTTCCAAGTATTTGCACACTTATAAGAAGTTTTCAGTAAGATCTCACCCTACCTACCCAAAAATTGAAATCACCTCAAAAAATAAGCCAACTTTTTATAAATACTTTTGCAGCCGATCGTTTCCAAGATTCTTCAATCACCCAATTTCCTCTTACAGTCCCAACATCTTCCAATTCAAATTGCTCCAATTAACCCTTTAACTCTACGTTCTCAAGAAACAGCTGCTTACTTACAAAACGAGTATATGTGAGCCTGTACTAAACAATTTTCGCCCAGTGTAACGCATCGGAGAAAGGACGACTATCCACTGAATATACTCTCAAGTAAAACGAGCTTTGAAAATTGAAGGCCTATAAATGTACCCTCATCCGTCTTCCCCTATACTCTCCCTCCGTTATTACACCAAAATGATACACCACCGAGCACACTGTCACATTCAGCACAGCAAATATCCACCGCGAATTACATCCACTACGGCAAGCAAGCAAGCATTTTTCACACGTAAAATGCACCTGCGTTCCAGATTTCAATCGTACTCCTTATCCTCCGATATGCAAAAATCGCGTCGCTCACATCACGTATATAATTTCACCCTTAAACTGTTCCGCAGTCAAAGGTTACATACCCGAACCCGATATTACGATCAAGCAACGTCGTTCTTTCCAGTTTTCCTCGCTTCCAGTTTGTAACTTCACAAACGAAGCGTCGTCACACGCACAGTTCGATTTCTCCTTTGCCGCGCTGTGTGTGGTCCCATAAAGGCTGCGGTCGGCAGTCAACTTTGTTGCTCTGTGGCGTTCCTCGATAGCAACACCTGTACCCCGGCAATAATCGTCTGACCTGGCCACGCGGCGGATTATTACATTACCCAGCCGGGATGGCACCTGCTTCTCCACAGGTATATCCTACAACGAACGTCTCTCTACGCGTGCACCACCTCGGTGTACACGTGTCCGCCGGTGTGTAGCTCGTGCAACTATCCGTTTATTGCGCACGGTTGTAGGCGTCGTGGCGCGAAACGAACGGCCACCATTATCAACCTGTTCACGAAGATGAATCACAACGACACGGAGAACGACCGTCCCGCGATTTTTCTCCCACGAGAGGATGCCTGCTGGATTCTTAGACGAGAGAAGAGAATCTTGAAACGTGTGCCGCTTTGACCCTTTTACCGCCGCGGATTTTAGCACGTGACGCGCTAAATGTAGGTAGAGGTTTAATCGCGACCGTAAAATCTCTCGTTCTGACGTTTTTTTAATTTTGTGGAAATTAAGGTGGAAGTATGCGAAGGGCAAAAATTAAGGATTGAATTCGGGGGGAGCGACACGGTGCTGGCAAATGCGAAGCGTCTGTAGGTGTCAACGACAGTGAAAGGGTTAAAAGTGGATTTTCCGATTTTTCAAATCTTACGAGGGAATATGTGGGACTCACACGCCGATTTCGATGAAATTTATGTGGGAGATAATTTGTGGGAAAATATTTGACACGTATTTTTTGTTATTGCCAATTGTCCATGTTGAAGGGGTGAAAAGAGGCCTCAAAGTTGAGGGTCGAGGTCATATTTTTTGGAGAATTAGAGGATCTGGGAAAAATACTTCGATCACACTGGGCATTCGCTCACATAAAGAATTTTATAATATTTAAGAACATTGAAGAATAATATTAAGGATAATAATATTTAAGAATATTGAAGAATAATAATATTTGAGAATATTCAATTTTTCAATATGTCATTTGAGGACTTTTTTCACCCTTTCAATATGAACGATTGCCTTTAAAAAAGGCAAAAAAAGGTTCCATCAAAATCGGCGTGTGTGGGTCCGACATGTCTCCTCGTTGATACCTATACGACGGCGTTCAGGTATTTACCAGACGCTGCGACAAATGAAGAATACCTTGGAATGCTGAAAAGCTGTAAAGTGAGTTTGTACATGCCGCGCGAATGGGAGTTCTTGGGTAATTCTGACTTGCGATTAACTTCGCGTTACGAGATGCTTTGAAGTTTCCCGGGATGTGTTAACGATTTTTCTATTTTCTTTCCTTTGTATTCCACTCAACGAGGAGGCTTTTCTTGTTTAATATTCAAGTGAACGATGTTTATTGGGAATTTTTGTTGAAATTAAACGGTAAGCGTATTCGTGAAGCGGCTGGGTACATACAAAGCTATAAAATGATGGCCGATAAGGGGTGTACGAGTCGCGTTGAGACGAAGCTGGTCATTCGGGAGGTATATTTCGATGAGAAGATAAGAAACAAGTTGCTCCAATATCAAACTGTTTATTCCAATGGAGGAATGCTTGTTATCTTAAGGAGAAGTGTATCGTGTAGGACAAAAGGAGAAAGGTAATTGCAGCTTCGAGGTGGCAAGATTTATGATAACGGTGTAATGAAATGTTGTCCGTGAGTCTGACAGGAATATCAATAACTCGACTGTTATTAATAATTGTTTAGGGTGGGAATGTGTTAGTGAGCAATGTGTTGTTTGAAATTTCACCGTGGTAGGCACGGTGTTGTAAAAGTGTACAGGGTGACCCAAGAAACTTGAGGACTTTCTTCGAACCTTAGAAAAAATTGTATATTTAACCCCTTAACATATGATTTCTTTTCTGACTACGCATCTAAGCGTCAGCCATTTAATGTTTTAGTACTGTACCAGGTAACTAAAGCTAATCTCTTACAGATTAATCACATTTAGGTATCCTTGATCTTACAAATTAAAACGAAAGTTAGGATTACGATGAATTTTTCTCGCATCTTCACCGGAATCTCTGCCACGTGTCTGACGCGTTGCTGTTAAAGGGTTAAATATGCATAACTTTCGTAAATCAGAGTTTCTTTACTTAAATTTTTCTGTAGATACGAGAGTTGCTTTTTACTTTTTTAAATGAAGCTATAGTATTCTTCAAATGTCAATTTTTTTTTGGATTAATGGTCCTTCCTTAAAAGTAGGTACGATGTTACACAACTTCGGTTGAATTGTATTGATTTGCACTATTGAATGTAAATAGTGGCTAGAAAATTATGTAGGTACTTTTGTCTAAACTTTCTTTGTTCGTAACTTTTTAACACCAGAACAACCGGAGTTAAATGTGATAAATGTTTTCCCTTCTGGTATGTTTAGGGAAGACTACGTAAAGAACTTCGAATTTAAAATCATTAATGGAAAATAAATTCGTATGTGTAATTATTCCTTTAGTTCAACAAAAGGCACTATATACTTGAACATGAGTATCTTAATAATTTCTGTAATTTAAAGTAAGAAATCTGGAATCCGTCATTTTGACGGAGTTGGTAATTCTAGTATTAACAAACGGCTTGTATTACGACTCTAGTATTAAAAAATGCTTTTTTGTGAATACTTATCGTTTATTTCTTGCGTATTTTTAAATTTCTCACGATTCCTTCTAACAAAATATATTGAAAACATGCAGATAAATGAACTCTGGCTTGTGAAAGTTAAGCACCTACATGAAGTTCAATTTCAGCCTAAAACAATTTTTTCCTTTTAATTCAAGGAAACTCCTGAAATTTTATGGTGTGAAAGTTAAGCACCTACACTACCGGCCAAAAGTTTGGAATCACCTCCCACTTTTCATCAATATTAAATCTGCTGCGAATTTTTTATAGATTTAAAGTTCATCTCAATTCTACATTTATCAATTTATCTCATATCAATTGATTCGAAGGCATGAACAGGTTGCGTCGAAATGGAAAGGTGGTCATTTTCGAGCTCTAGATGCGAAGATAGCGAACGGTCGGGCATAGAAATGGTTATTAAGCGTGTTATCCTGTTAGAAGTACATATCTGCCCTGGTGAAACTCCGTAACATCGTCGGGGATATTAATTGTAAGAGAAAGTATCGTGGGTCATGGGGAAAATCGAGGGAATAAAGAAAAATGGCACGGAGATTCGATTTAATCGGTCGATTTACCGAGAAAAGGTTTCAAGATTTAAATTTTTATACTCGTAATGAGAATAATGATTGATAAACGTAATAACTGTGTTAGTATGGAACTACGGTTTCTAAAAGCAAGGCCTGAAGTAGTAGGAGGTTTTTTTCTACCATAGATTTATTAGGACTAAATAGCATTTTTTATTTGAATATTTTTGTAGTAGAAAATTTATAGGTTATTGAACAACGAGCTTGCCAAGAAACATCTTCCAACTCGACCAAACAGACGTGAGCGTTTTTAAAACTATTTATTGTAATCAATTCCATTTGATAGCAAACTAATTTCTAAAACTTTAGAAGTACCTACTTAACAAGTGTTCAATCTATTAAAAGAACACAACCCTTCTATCTTTCTTATACGAGAAGATTCTCCATCATTCTGAAAGAGTCAAATTCTAACTTCACAGAAAAGAAGATGACAGAAATAATATTATAATGTAAAATCAACTAACCGAAATCTAACCTAACCTAAAAATTCCAATAACCTACTAACCAAAAAACAACGAAAACGAAATTTTACTCTTAAATTCAAGGCTCGAACAAAGCACACACGCACAAAAGTAGATTAAAGTGACAAAAACATAATACCACTAATATTTTCCCCTAATTAAACATTTCAACGTCACTTTCCAACTTCCTCTAAAAATTC